TGAAGATAGGACTACAGATTTAACCCCACAAATGTTGACCCTAGTACTGCTTATAACACTGGAAATGGGAAACAACCCAAGTATCTAACAAGAGGGAATTAGTGAATAATACTAGTACTTCATATACTAGTACATAGTACTTCATACAAGATATTATGCAGATATACAAATGAACTAAGTCTATATTTATTGACATAGAGAGATGTCCAGGCTAAATTGTTAGGTACTAAAACTAGGTTGTAAGACAAAATTTAGAGTATGTTCTTATCACATTTTAAAATACATATTATATCTAGGAGCACTGGTTAGCTCAGTCGATTGAGTGTCTGCCTCTCGATTTCAGCTCAGGTTATGATCCCAGGGTCATGAGATCAAGCCCTGTGTCGGGGTCCATGCTAAATGTGGAAACTGCTTAAGATTCTCTCTCTCAGGGCGCCTGGGTGGCTCAGTTGAGTGTCCAACTTTGGCTCAGGTCATGAGTTTGGCTCAGGCTGGTGAGTTTGAGCCCCTTATTTGGCTCTGGGCTGGCAGCTCGGAGCCTGGAGCCTGCTTTGGATTCTGTGTCTCCCTCTCTGTCTGCTCCTCCCCCACTCATGCTCTGTCTCTCTCTCTCTCTCTTTCTCTCAAAAATAAATAAACATTTTTAAAAAAGAAGATTCTCTCTCTCTCCCTCTGCCCTTCTTCCCTGCTCTCTCTCTCTCTCTCCAAAAAAAAAAAATACATATTATATCTACATATAGGATATCAAATTGTTAAATGGGGTTATTTACGAGTAGTGGGATTATGAGGAATTATTTTCTTCCTGCTTATTTGTATGAAAAATGACAAGCCTGGAAAGAAAAAATTTACCCATAACCTCACTTGATTATAAGTGATTTTGACTTATTTTTATTTTTGTTTGTGTTCTCTAAATTCTCATGAGTGGAAATATATTACTTGTAGGATTAAAAAAGTATTTTCGGGGCACCTGGGTGGCTCAGTCGGTTGGCGTCTGACTTCGGCTCAGGTCATTATCTCATGGTTCCTGAGTTCGAGCCCTGCGTCGGGCTCTGTGCTGGCAGCTCAGAGCCTGGAGCCTGCTTCAGATTCTGTGTCTCCCTCTCTCTCTGTCCCTCCCCCACTTGTGCTCTCTCTCTCTCTCTCAATAATGAATAAACATTAAAAGTATTTTCTTTTTTTTTTTTAATTTTTTTTTTCAACGTTTACTTATTTTTGGGACAGAGAGAGACAGAGCATGAACGGGCGAGGGGCAGAGAGAGAGGGAGACACAGCATCGGAAACAGGCTCCAGGCTCCGAGCCATCAGCCCAGAGCCCGACGCAGGGCTCGAACTCACGGACCGTGAGATCGTGACCTGGTTGAAGTCGGTCGCTTAACCGACTGCGCCACCCAGGCGCCCCAAAAAGTATTTTCAAAAGTATAAAATTCTAGAATCTGATTCACAAGGAGCCACTTGTCCAAGTTCACACATAACAAGTTGTCAGCAGAGCCAGGCTGGAAGAATGGCTTCCTCCTTCATGGGCTCCACTGGGCTCCACTTCCCACAAGTGACAGGATCTGTGGGCATACCAGGAGGGTGTTCTGGATGTGTTGCTGTCCCTTGTTCCTTGGTCAAGATGTGGTCTGAGCATAGATGACAAGAGTGAGGGCAGGAAGGTGGCCGGGGTAGGAGGTGTGGCTAGACCAAATAACAGGGGAGCCTAACAAGGGCCCAAGGAGATGGACAAACAGCCATTAGTCATGGGGTACTTGTCTTGCCTGAGAATGGCAGCTGCATTGCCAGCGTTCTTCAGGGGAAGCACTATCTCATTCTATTCCAGAGCTATCCTACAGTTTAGCCCCAGTCCTCTTAACTGCACTGACCTGATCCCAGAGAGGCCCTGGGCTGTGTCACCTAACTGACCACTAACCACATCCAGCTCTGCTCTTTCCTGGTTCCTGAAATCCAGGAGCAGGTGGCAGGAGTGCTGAAGATAGCCGGCTACCCAGAGCCCAGAAGAAAGGGGAGGAGGAGAGGGATAGAGGAAGTTACCTTGGTCCTGAGCCTGTAGCCCCCAGGCTTTCCTGTGAAATCCAACGGTCTTCAGCCAGATTTCCTGTCCCTTTAGCCTTCGCCAAGAATGGGGGGCTGCCAAGGGCCAGCGTACTGTTGGGGGTGGGGGACAACCCCCCGAGGCTGATCAGATTGTTACTCCAAGAGTCCCCTACACCTTCCCTCCTCCTCTGGGGTCACTCTATTTCCCATAGTTCCTTAGGCTCTTGGTTCCTGACTTTTGTCCCTTTGCAAGGATCCCTGGACACTAAATTTAAACAGAATTTTGGAGGTGGGTTAGTTGCCTATACACCTGGGGACAACAATTGTCTAGGCACACAATGGGAGCTGAGAAACTCGGGTGGAATGCTAAGTTCAAAGGCTGGGCACAGTTCTGGTCTCTCCTTTCCTGTCCCTCTCTCCCAAAGAAGCGATCACCTTCTGGGCACCCCAACCCCAGTTGGGGAGGAGAGAGCGTTTAGTCTCCAGGGGCGGGTTTTGTCTGCACCCCCACTCCCC